CTTGTTCTATTCTGAAATAAGAATCGTAAAGATTTTTATGGATCACTCTGTATATCTGAATTATTACTATTATGATTACTAATATATTGTAGATGCTAGTTTTACCTTCTAATAAGTAAACACATGACGGATAATAATAACCTATCGAAAGTCAATAATAAGACAGCAACAGATAACAATGATTTTTCTATCACAACGTCTTCTAGTTATCGAAAGCCTTGTAGACTGGATTGGGCTACGTCATCTTGGATACGATGGATTTATGTTATATTTTGGTGGTGGTTAAATCCAATTTTAAATATTGGTAATAAACGTAAATTAACTGAAGATGATTTATTTGATGTATCACCAACTGATGAATGTAATCAGTTATTAAAGAAACTTGAAACAGTATGGGAAAAATATGAAAATAAATATAAACACATTAAAACATGGAAAATAATTGCAAAAGCATTTTGGAAAGAGACTTTTATAACTGGCCTAATATTTTTTCCATATCTTTGTACAAAACTAGTTCAACCTTTACTTATAAGAGGAATCGTTCTTAATATTAATGATTCAAATGCAGCTTCATATATAGGTTATTTATATGCTATGGGATTAGGACTATCGACTACTTCTCTAGTATTGATACATCATCAAGTTTTTTTTCGTGTAGTACGAACTGGAATTCAAATACGTATTGCACTCTCATCGATTATTTACAAAAGATTATTATCATTACCAACAAGAATTATTATGAAAACGACAACAGGTCAAATAATAAATTTAATTTCAAATGATGCCAGTAAATTTGAAGAACTAATAAAATATATTCATATTTTATGGATGGGACCATTAGAAGCACTGATTGTCTTCGGTATAATTTGGCATGAAATTGGTATTCCGACTTTATTCGGTTATGCTGTATTGTTACTACAACTTCCAATACAATGGTTTTTCAGTAAAAAATTTAGAACATACAGAAAAAATACGATGCAATGGACTGATGAACGTGTAAAAATTACCAATGAAATATTAGTTGGTTGTCAAATTGTTAAAATGTATCGATGGGAAGAAGCATTGGAGACTGTTGTTCATAATACAAGGAAAAAAGAATTTCAAAGTATTCGAAAAGCAAATCGAATTCGAGCAATTAATATGGCTATTTATTTTTCATCATTATCATTAATTTCATTGGCTACATTTGGTGGTAGTTGGTTGATGGGTCAAACATTGTCCAGTGCAAATATATTCACAATTTTATCATTTTTCGGTATAATAAGATATGAATTAACTAATGGATTATCTTATGCTATTGATACATTAAGTGAAAGTGCAATAGCATCAAAACGTATTGATCAATTCATGAATTTATCGAAACAGACTCGTACAAAAACATTACAAGAACATTCTAGAGATGACCATCAATATATACCAGGTAGTATAGTAATGGATCGAGCTTCATTTACATGGGATTCTACACAATTGGTTCGATTAATTGAAATTGATTTAAATTTGAATGCTGGTTCATTAGTAGGTATTATAGGAACAATTGGCTCGTGTAAATCATCGCTTTTAGCAGCAATACTTGGTGAAATGTCTCTTGTTGAAGGTATTAGTAAGATATATGGTAATATTGCATATGTATCTCAAACACCATGGATATTTGCTGGTACGATACGTGAAAATATTTTATTTTGTAAACAATTTAATAAAGATAAATATGAACGTATATTGAAATCATGTTGTTTAATTACTGATTTACAATCATTTCCAGCTGGTGATTTAACAGTAATAGGAGAAAAAGGAATAAATTTGAGTGGAGGACAAAAAGCTCGTGTTTCACTTGCACGAGCTTTATATACTGAAGCTGATATTTATTTATTTGATGATCCACTAGCAGCAGTTGATCCTACAGTTGCAAGAAAAATTTTTCAACAATGCATTAGTAATGAAGGTATTTTACATGATAAAACACGTTTGTTAGTTACACATCAAATACAATTTTTATCAGAATTCGATCATTGTATTTTATTAGATCATGGTAAAATAGAAAAACAAGGTTTATTTGATGAATTATTAACACTAGATAAAGTTAAACAAGCTTACGAAAATCAACAAAAGCATATAAATGAAATGGGAAAAAATAATCAACAAAATTATCCTAGTGTGTATGATGATGATGATGATGATGATTCTATGAAGCCATCGAAAACTATTGATAAAAGCAGTATTGTCCTAGAAGAAACATCTGCTGGTGGAAAAGTCAGTGGCTATGTTTGGTTTAAATTATTTACTTCTAGTTATGGTTGGACTGGATTCATATTATTGATTTTTTTCATGTTATTAGGTCAAGGTCTTTTTGATGCAACTAATAAATGGTTAAGTATATGGTCGTCAAAGATAGAAGCAGAGCAACGTAAAAATCACTATCCATATGTATACTTAGGATTGGTTATTGCTACATGCTTAATTGCAATATTGCGTGCTGATTATTTTTTTCATGTTATATTACGTGGTACATCTGCATTTCATAATGCGATGTTTAAAGGTGTTTTATATAGTTCATTGAGATTTTATGAGAGTAATCCAGTTGGTCGTATATTAAATAGATTTAGTAAAGATCAACAAGTTCTTGATGAATTATTACCATTAACATTTTTTGATGCAATTCAATCATTAATCATGGTATTAGGTAGTATTGTTATTATTGGTATGGCAATTCCATGGGTATTATTGATATTAATCATTATTATTCCAGCATTTCTTTGGTTAAGAAGAATTTATGTAAGAACAAGCAGAGAAATAAAACGATTAGAGAGTATAAGTAGAAGTCCTATTTATGCATTATTTTCTTCATCATTAAGTGGACTAATGACTATAAGAGCATTCAATGTAGAAAATGATTTTCTTAATTTATTTACTGATAAAATTAATGCAAATACACGTGCACTTTTTATATTCATTTGTTCAGCAAGATGGTTTGGTTTAAGATTAGACTTAATGACTTGTTGCTTAACATTTTTAACAGCAATTTTATCCGTAACTTTACGTAAGAGTATGGATGCTTCATCTGTAGCATTGGGTTTATCATATTGTATAAATTTATCGGATCTCTTTCAATGGGCAGTACGTCAATCAGCTGAAACTGAAAATTATATGATTAGTGCTGAGAGAATCGATGAATACTCTCACATTCCTTCAGAACCAGGTTTTTATAAAGAAGAAACAGACCCACCAGCTAAGTGGCCGACGGAAGGAAGAATTGAATTCAATGAATATAAACTAAGTTATCGTTCAGAGCTTGAACCAGTATTAAAAGGTATAAATTTAAAAATTGAACCACATAATAAAATTGGTATTATTGGACGTACGGGTGCTGGTAAATCATCAATTTTTCAAGCACTCTTTCGATTAACTGATAAATCAACAATCAATGGTAGAATACTTATTGATGAAATTGATATTAGTAGAATTAGTTTGAATGATTTACGATCAATTTTAAATATCATTCCACAATCTCCTGTCTTATTTAGTAATACACTTCGATATAATTTAGATCCATTCAATCATTATAATGATGAACAATTATGGAATGCATTAGAAGCAGTTCAATTAAAAACAAAGATTAATAATTTAAAAGATAAATTAAATACACAAATAGCAGAATATGGAAGTAATTTTAGTGTTGGTGAATGTCAACTAATGTGTGTAGCAAGAGCAATTCTAAAACCAAGTAAAATTTTACTTATCGATGAAGCAACAGCACATGTTGATACGAAAACTGATGGAATAATTCAACAAATTCTACGTGAAAAATTTACCAATCATACTATATTAACAATTGCACATCGTCTGAATACAGTCATAGATTGTGATAAAATTGTTATTATGAATGATGGTATTATTGCAGAATATGGAACACCAAGAGAATTACTTATGGGAAAAAATAAACTACTCACTGACATGAATTCTGACGATGAATCCGTTTCATATCTAGAAGAATCTTGAGAAATCTTGGCTTTTCTTTATTAAATAAATTACTACGTTAGTTAAACTAATCAGAATAGAATCCAATCAGATGTGTCTCTTCTGAATTTGAGTTCAATTCGGAGCATAACAGTTAGCTTAGATTTTGAAATTTATTGGACGTAAAGCAAAGCAAAGAAACAAATTTTAAAAAATATATCGAGTCTCATATAGAATATTTTTCCAGAAAAAAGTTTAGGTTGCTAGTTTCTAGTGTAAAGGGAGATATCTAGAGTGAATAGATAGAAATATAAGAAAACATTCAGATATATCTACTTAGCTCTCAGATTATGTTAATAGACTGCGTTTGATGGCTAACAATTTACTTTACAAATTCTCTCAATGGTTAAATATTTAGGGTTACTCAAAAATTCTTAGAACAGTATTTAAAGGGTCTTGTCGGATAAGGTAACTTATTCAAAAATAAAAAATCAAATATACCATGCCGTAGAGCATGGTATAGAAAATATGATTAACTATGATACAATACTAAGATCATACAGAAAACCTGGTAAGATCTTAAATAGTTTTGACACTTGATTTCAAATAGTTTTTTTTTCACCTATTCATTGAACATCAAAGGATTTTTCGCCTAAAAGTCAAGTTTTCGCAATGATATCATTCATTTTCAAAGCCGACTTTTTTAAGTACTTGTTGAATGATCTACAATATTATATCATATTTGTCGTGGTTGTGTCTATGAGAAACCTTAGTAAGACCAAAATGATCCCTGATGAATTTGGTTCTCTGTGATTTCTTTATTAGAATAAAAATTCAAAGGACAGGGGCGCATTTGCTCATAAATCGGCTCGTAGGAAAACAATCTTTTCATGGACAAGTAAAAAGTTTGAATAAGGTCGATATTCAATGTTTTTGGGACTTAATTGCTATCATAGACCAATCTGATATGGTACACCTATTCATATGATGACAACAAGAAAAAAAGACTTTTTTATTGCACCGAGGGTGTGTGTGAACAGATGGCCAACAACCACACCCTATTTCAAGAATCATCGATTTCCTGACTTAATACTGATTCAAAAAGCAATGGTGAACTTGTCAGGATCCTTAAAAATCTTGGTTGGAATCCTGTCAAGGTTCTATAATTCCGTGGCTACACACTTCTTTCAGGATTTAGTCGTTTCCTCAGGAAAAAATAGCGAATCCTTGCAGGATCCTGATCATATTTGTTAAGGATCTGGCGCTGAGACATCAAAGATTTTCCCTAGGGAATAGTGTTCGTCTTATTTTCCAAGAAGTAAACTTGTCAAAATCTGTCGTTCATCGTATAAATTGTATAAAATGCATTTGACACAACAATTCTATGATAAAAATCGAGATTTGCGTGTTGAAATGTCTGAACTTTAATATCAATTCTTGAAGACAATGATAATGATGGAGTAATATTTTTTTTTCGGATGAAGCTAGTTTTCACGTTTCTGGAATAGTTAATAGATGTAATTGCCGTATATGATCCGAAAAAATCCGTTCGTTACTGTTGATGTTGCAACAAATTCACTAAAAGTTTCCGTCTGGTGTGCAATGTCAAGTAAACAAATTATTGGATCTTTTTCTTTGATGATGAAACAGTTACTCAAGATAATTATCTTGAAACACTTTAGAATTACTTTTATCCAATTTTACAAAAGAAAAGGTTAACAAAATCCATCATTTTTCAACAAGATGGAGCCAGCTACACATTTTTCGAAAGAGGTTCGTTCCTGACTCAACAAGGTTTTCGATGGTAGGTGGATTGGAAGAGGTGGACCAATATCATGGACTCCTCAATCATCAGACCTTACATCATTGGACTTTTTACTATGGAGACATGTTAAAACAAACATCTACAAAACACCAGTACAAGATTTAAATGATTTAAAGATTAGAATAGGGAATGAAATTAAAATAATAAAAAAAAAGAAATTTTACGTGATATTTTTTCATATAAACTTTTTCCTTATGAATAAAAACTTACTACTCTCCTCTTTCACATAAAAAAATAAACATTATTCGTTAAAGATTGATTAATAAGGGAGTTATACGCATTTGTTAAATGATACGAACTTTTGGAACACCCTATATATATATATACAAAAGAAGTTACATGAGTTTGAATGAATTAAATCATAAGCTTGATCATGGTTAATAACTCACGAAAACTTGTTCGCTTTCTAAGTGAACAATATCAGAGAGTGTGAGTGTGAGTGGGTGTATCTATCGTTGGAAAGAAGAAAGATGCCCACGTCCACATCCAAAGCAAAGCAACGAGTCAATATTTCACATATGTAGAACTGCAACGGATTATTCATATTAAGTGAATTACACAAAAAAAACCTATTTGTGATAACGTATCTCTTTCATGATTTCAAACAGATATGCAATTATGCATAATTAATATTTACTGATGTAGATATTCGTCACGATGATTTATTATGTTGAAAGTAATGTATATTTAACACACATAGATTCGTTTGTTAATGAATCGATTGGAAAATTTATGATTAGTCTGTTACTTTCACAAGGCAAATTTATTTTTAAAAAAACTTTATATAAGAAAAAAAAAGTTGAAATATTTTCTTGTATTTGTGATTTATTTCTTCTTTTTTTTTATACTTAATAATTATTTTTTGTCATTTAATATCCATAAATCATAAATTGAAATGTCTATGAATAGATTGAACCAATAAGGCTAACAATATGAATATATTTGTGTGTGTATATTATAAGAAAAAAAAAATTATAGAAATAGAACCATTGATCATTACTCTATTTCACAAAAATACTACGCACACTAAAAGGAGGAAAAAATGCACTTTGAATTATAAAAAAAAAAGACAAAAGCGAGAAGTTAATAATAAGACGAACAGATGACAAAAATATTTAAACATTTGGCACTGGCTGATATTTTGGGCTTGATGATATATCTTTCACTTCTACTTCTTTTGCTGTTGTAATTGTGCTCGTTGTTGTTGATCGTTTATTTTTCTTAAATTTTTTTCCAATAACGAAAAACAGAAGAACAAGAATAATAGCAATGATACACACCGTAATTAAACCGACAAATAATGCTTTGCTCCAATAACATAAACCTTAAATCAATGAAACATACACACACACATTAATAAAATTAGTTATTTCTTTTTTTTTCTCTTTCTATGAAATAGAAACAAACCTTCAGATGAAAATGTGTCTGTCTTAGATTGAGAACTACTGAACGATGGTTTTTCATCAACATGAAGATCGACAAAGAAAGTGTCATGATCAGAGGACATTCTTAAGAAAAATATAGACTAAAACAGATTGAAGATTCATTAAATTTCTTATAATCGATCTATATTGAAATATAATATATGTACATAAGTAAATGAACGACTTAATATTGAAATATAAAACTTTTTTTTTATTTTAACAGCAGCAAAAATGTTTTATAATTGACAATGTCAGCTAAGAAAGACTATCGAAAATGACAGAATTTACTTTTGGCAGAAAAACTGCAAAAGTAAATTCTATATAGACTATCTTTTTTATGACGGAACCAACTGATATTGTGCAATTACGTTGGCACTATTACATGGTGATACATACAACACGACTATTGAATATTTTTTCGTTCTTCGTATAGTATATATATATATAGGCTGTTTATAACTAGCAAACTATTGTTTTTACTATACGATGACATTATTATACATTCTTTTTCTTTTTATCTTCAATCTATTCGAGATACATTGAAAATAATCCTTTACTTAGTATCGAAATGCGTCCACATATGCTGCCATAGTTATTTTGAAATCTAATATATAGAAGTAAATGAAAGACTTAATATTGAAATATAAAACTTTTTTTTATTTTAACAGTAGCAAAAATGTTTTGTAATTGACAATGTCAGCTAAAAAAGACTATCGAAAATGACAGAACTCACATTTACAAGTTATTTTCGATCTATCTTGTTTAGATTGAAGATAAAAAGAATGTATAACGGTGTCATCGTATAGTAAAAACAATAGTTTGCTAGTTATAAACAGCCTATATATATACTATACGAAGAACGAAAAAATATTCAATAGTCGTGTTGTGTGTATCACTATGTAATAGTGCCACCATAATTGCACAATATCAGTTGGGTCCATCATAAAAAAAGATAGTCTATATAGAATTTACTTTTGCAGTTTTTCTGCAAAAGTAAATTCTGCCATTTTTGATAGTCTTTCTTAGCTGACATTGTCAATTACAAAACATTTTTGCTGCTGTTAAAATTAAAAAAAGTTTTATATTTCGATCTATATTGTGTTTCAATTTATTATGATTTCGATAACGATCTAATAGCGAAGCAATCACGCATAGTTGCACGTAATCAAGATTTTCTTTTTCGTAACTAAACGTAATTGCATTACAGTTACGACAAAAGACACCGCCGCATGGATCTTTTACCAATCTTGTTGGTTTTGCGTTTAGTGTCTCTTTCTATTCATTCTATTTTTTTTTTCTTTCACAATATAATTTCAAATTATGAATTTGATGATCTGTAACAAACATAGAAGACGAAATGACACCAATAACGGTGACTCAACAAAAATTTTATCGTGTTTGGCATTATTCATCTCATTTTTCAAGGATTTTCATATTTTGAAACAAGAGAAATTTAAAAAAACACAATGAACTGTCGATAAAATCGAGCTTATGAAAGAAGTATATAGTTTTGGTCACTCTTGTTATCATTATTTAGATATAAATTTGTCCTCATTTATTATTTTAATCAACAATTTTCTTTTGCTTATTTACATGATATATTTAGTTAATAAACTTACCCTACAATTGTTTTCTAGCAGAAATATCAGCAATATTATCCTTCAGTTGTTGATATATTTCTTGAGTAATTGTTGTTGAATAATCATTGCTTGAAGATATTAATGATGTTGTTGATGATAGTATACTATTTGCATAAATATCTGTTATATCTGCATCGAATAAATTATTTGATACTGTTTCATTTTTACACAGATCATTAATAATTCAGTTAACAGTATAATAAGAAAGATTTTCATCATCGGGATAATCCTTCACCAGAGCATTTGCTTCTCATATTTAATTTTCGGTGATAATATTGTTGTAATACTATCATTTATATCATACTCAAGTTCTTCGACTTCTTGATTGTCAGTCATAGAAATCGGATGATGATAACAAGTAGACATCACTGATAACAGATCTAAAAAGAAAGGAAAAGAAAAACTACAGATGCAACATAGTATTCTTCTGCGTATCAATAGAGCACGAGTCGAAGAAAAAACAGAGTTATCTCAAGACGACAAATAGAATGTAAACAACTAAGAATAGGTCAATGCTATACTACATATGCTAGTCCGCAGCAGATCTTCGAAGTATATTTAAAATAAGAAATCTCATTGACGCAGTTCCTTTGATGTTAAAATGTGGAAGTTACATTTTCCATATAAACTAGCAGATAATTTACTGTAGTTTTCTTTTTCATTATAATGGAATATACTGTGAAGTTTGAAACAAATGAAATGAAACAATGAAAAGTTTGTTTACTTATTAAAAGTGATCAACTTTACTGAAAAAAATATGAAAATATCTTTGTTTATATCATTTTCGGTATGATTAAATTGTTATGATTTTTTTTAATATGTAAAACTTAACACAACGTTGATTAGCTGATGATAGAGAATTTATTTTCTTTTTTTTTATCAAGTTATATTAATACTATTGTTTTGTGCGACGTGACAACAATTTAATATAGATGAACTAATAAATGATTCTAAAAATATTTCTTTAGTATTGAAATAGTTACAGATAGATGTTGAAGTGCTAATTATTATAAGAGGAAAAAAAAGAATCGACACAATAAGGTATATCGAAAAAAGAAAAAATTATTTTATAAACGTATCAGCTAATCGATATAAAATATTTTAAAAGTTTCTAAAAGAATTTAATAAAATTTAGATGGTTAAAATTTATTATTGTATTTCTATCAAAAAGGGAAAAAATAAAGAACTACTAGATTGTATATAGATATAATTTGTTAATAACAGGTTATTTTGTTACTGCTACATTATTGTGTGAATTATGTTTAGTAATATAGACACGGAGTTACTGTACACTAAAATTGATTTGGATGTAAATGTTGATTATATGTTTATTTTCAAGAAGATGTGAGTGTACGCCAGGAGAACACTAACATTTCACAGCTTTTATTCGGAACTAATGCTCTCATCACTGGATGCTCTTATTTGATCGACAAGACTCGATTCTGTTTTAAATTATTTTTCATGTTGAAGAAAACTACAATCATCGATTTTTTTGGCAATTGTAGCATTTTGTAAATCGTATAACAACAGGATAACGAAATTCTTCATCGTGAAACATCAATTTTCGAATGATCCATTCTTACAATCATTGCTTTCTCTAGATGATTTATCCTTTAGGAAATCAATGAGTTTATTCATGAAAATTCCGTCAAGTTAATTTGATCTTTTTAGTCATTTTTGTTTGTTGAAAACACCAGTCTGTTAGTAAAAATTTGAAGAATCAGTGAGTTGTGATAAAAAAAAAGAAAAGAGAAAATATCGCCCATCATCTTTATATTTTGCACAAAGACTAATTTCTGAAATTTGTAGGACACTCAATATGTTATCTAAACATGTGAATAAATTTTTTCAGGTTGCCTCTAATCGACTCGTTGTTTGCTTCTTCACATCGAAAATACAATACGATTTTCGTTATTTTATCTTTCTTCTGGTGAAGATAAGTCGAAAAGTTGACTGGTCATATCGTAGGGTTGAGAAGGTTGTCAGTGAAGATCACATCTTTAACCACATTCACACCCACAAGCTCACATTCATTATATGTAGATCTAAGAACCGACTTTTCAGATCTTGATGTTGAATTGCCAGACACTAGGCCGGGTGTGGGTGTGGATTAGAGAGCTGCGGATCCTTCCAGACCCGGACCCGAATCGAACCCGGTCGGGTTGGGATATAGATCCGAGTCCAGAAATTTTATTATTGCCGGGTTCGGGTCCGTATCTGGATTTCAATTTAGATGCGGTTTGTATTAATTTGTATTTAGTAGTTACTCTGAATAGAACCGCGTGAGATAACATAGCAAAAATAAGTTTTTCTTGACGTTTTTCCTCAGAGTCGCCAATAAATAACCGTAATATTAGTTCTTATATTTAATCAATCACATAAAAAACACGAAATGTTACTGAGAAAAATTCGGGCCTGAACCCGACTGCGTCTGCGTCTGATTTTCAGCGGATCTCGGTCGGATCCGGGTCTAGAAATTCATTTTTTATCGGGTCCAAGTCCGAGTCCAGGTTCAAATAAACGTGGATCCGCAGCTCTCTAGTGTGGATATTGCGGGTGTTGGTGTGGGGTGTGCAGAGATGCGCAAGTACGGATACAACTTGTCCATGCCGTACACAGCTAATTATGTACTGGCGTGTACCAACTTCTGCCCCTTCGTACCATCTTGTACTACCTTGTATCCACCCCATGTATCGATATAATAACATATATACCCCGCAAAAAACCTAGACTTCTAGAATTCATGTACTACCTTGTACCACCTTGTACTACCTTGTATCCAGCCCATGTATCGATATAACAATATATATACCCCCGAAAAACCTAGAATTCTAGAATTCATGTACCACCGTGTATCACCATGTACTACCTTGTACCACCTTGTATCGAGTCCATCTATAGATAAAACAACATATATACCCTGGAAAAACCTAGAATTCTAGAATTCATGTACCACCTTGTACCAATTTGTATCGAGCCAATGTACCGATATAACAACGTATATACCCCGGAAAAACCTAGAATTCTAGAATTCATGTACCACCTTGTATCACCATGCACCACCTTGAACTACCTTGTAGTACCTTGTATCAGGTCCATGTATCGATAGAATAAGATATGTACGCTGGAAAAACTTAGAATTCTGGAATTCATGTACCACATTGTACTACCATATCTCGCGTCGATATATCGATATAATAAGATATGTACTCTGGAAAAATCTAGAACTCTAGAAGTCATGTACCAGCTTGTATTGGTGTGTACAACCTTGTAGCACCTTATACCACGTCGATGTAGCGATATAATGGGATCTGTAGCCCGAAAAAGCGTAGAAGTCCAGAACTGTGGGAATGACATGGAAAGATATGTAATTATATGATTGTAGTGAATGTAGTGACCCGCGAGCGTATCATTCAGGCATAGCTGGAAAGTTGAATTGAACTGAGTTTTCAAGTTTCAAGTGAGTTTTTAAGTTTGAAGTTAGTTTTCAGGTTTAAGTTCCCGGATACACGCGAAACTTGAAAACTTCAATTGTACTATCCTGTAATTGAATAGTTGAACTTTAAATTTTCCATTGGTAAGCTATTGAATCGTTTAACGCGGGAAGTTCAAGTACTCGCCTTCTGCATACTTCTCCGGCGAATAGTTGATGTTGAAGCATCTATTTCGCGAATAATTGAAGTTCAGCCATTCAAGTATTGAGTTATTCAATAATTGAATGATTGAACTTCAAATACTGGATACATGTCAGTCTTGAAAGTTCAATTCCTTCCTTGAATAAGGTTACGAATGTTTTCTGGTGCTGGTAAGAGCTTTTCCCTGTCTAAGTGAGCTTTATATCAGGGTGGCAGCGTGGGGGCGCGAAGCACCCCGCACCGAAGAGGCGCAAACCATGTTCCTGTCTGTGTTCACAGCAATTATATTGTGTCTTGTTTAGACTCGCCACCGTCTACTGGAATACTTGAACTTGGCGTATTTAATAATTAAATACTTGAAAGAATTTTTCAATAATTGAATTCAAGCATGCAGTTTGACGCTGTTGCGAAAGCACTGGGCGCGAACTGGCTAATCGTGAAAGGAGTGGCGATAATCCGACTCACATCACATCGCAGCTTCTGCAGGAGCAGCGAAAGGACAGACCGCAAAAAGAACTGGCGGCAAAAGGACTGATGGCGAAATGAGTCACCGCAATACGACACACTTCACATCGCAGCTGGTGCTGGTGCCGTGAAAGGACTGACCCCGAAAGAACTACCTGCCAAAGGACTGGTTGCTAAAAGCGTCGGCCACGAAGGGGCTCATGGCGAAAGGAGTTGCCGCAATACGACATATATCACATTGCAGCTAGTGCGGGTGCTGCCAAAGGCCTGATAGCGAAAGGAGTGCCCGGGAAAGGAGTGGTCGCGAAAGGACTCGCTGCGGGAGGAGTCTCCACGAAACGGCTGTCTACGCAAGAACCGTCCACCAATAGACTGACCGCAAAACGAGTGGCCACAGTGCGACACACATCACATCGCCGCCGGTGTTAATGCTACGAGAGAATTGAAATGCGAAAGTTGAAACTTGAAAACTCAGTTGAATTCAAGTTCCAGTTTTACATATATGATCTGTTCGTTGGTTATTACATTGACGACAGCATATGATTACACGTCATTACATGCCATTACCCAAATTCTACAATTCTTGGCTATTTCGGGCTACAGATGGCATTATATCGATACACGCACGCCATACAAGCTGGTACATAGTGGTGCATAGTGGTCCATGAATTCCACAATTCTAGGTTTTTCCGGGTATATATGTTATTGTGTCGATACATGGACCTGATACAAGGTGGTACAAGGTAGTACAAGGTGGTACATGGTGATACAAGATGGTACATGGTGATACAAGGTGGTACATGAATTCTAGAATTCTGGGTTTTTCCGGGGTATATATGTTATGATGTCGATACATGGACCTGATACAAGGTGATACAAGGTGATACAAGGTAGTGCAAGGTGGTACAGGGTAGTATATAGTCAGCTGTGAACCGCGTGGTACAAGTTGTACTCGTACTTGCGCAGCCCTCTAAAAGCACTATGTAGATGGTTAGTTGTTCATAGAATCATCAACTTCTTCAATATTCTTGTAAGTATCAACCAGTTCGGGGTGATTCCAAGAGACGGATTTTAGTTGGATTTCACGTGCCATTTGATAGAACGATCGCGCAAACGAATATTTTCCCATCTCTTTATAGATGCAAGCGATATTACTATAGGTGGTAGCCACTTCTGGATGATTTTCAGATAGGGATATTTGTTGGATTTTTAGAGCCCTCTCATAGAACGATAACGCAGTCGAGTAGTAGTCCATTTTTTTATAGGTTCCATCGATATTGTTATAGGTGATAGGCAGCGCCGAATCAGCAGGTGGGAGAGATTTCTGTTGAATTCCAAGTGTCGTTTGATAGAATGATCGTACAAGCGAACACTTTCCTATCTGTTTGTAGATCTCGGCGATATTGCTATAAGTAATAGCCACTTCTGGATGATTTTCAGATAGGGATTTATGTTGGATTTCTAGAGCTTTCTCATAGAACAATAATGCAGTCGAGTAGTATTCCATTCTTTTATAGATTTCGCCAATATTGTTGTATGTGATAGCCAGCGCTGGATCAGCA